AGAGGGCCTGTTTGAGGCTTGAGAGGGGCCCATTTCAGGCCTGAGAGGGCCCATTTGATGCCTGTGAGGGCCCATTTCAGGCCTGAAGGGGCCCATTTCATGCCCTAGAGGGCATGTTTGAGGCCTGATAGGGCCCATTTCAGGCCTGAGAGGGGTCCATTTCAGGCCTAATGGGGGCCATTTCAGGCCTGAGGGGGCCCATTTCAAGCTTGAGAGGGGCCCATTTCAGGCCTGAGAGGGCCCATTTGATGCCTGTGAGGGCCCATTTCAGGCCTGAAGGGGCCCATTTCATGCCCTAGAGGGCATGTTTGAGGCCTGATAGGGCCCATTTCAGGCCTGAGAGGGGTCCATTTCAGGCCTAATGGGGGCCATTTCAGGCCTGAGGGGGCCCATTTCAAGCTTGAGAGGGCCCATTTCATGCCCTAGAGGGCCTGTTTGGGGCTAGAGAGGGTCCGTTTGAGGCCAGAGAGGGTCCGTTTGAGGCCTGAGAGGCACCATTTCAGACCTGAGAGGGCCCAGTTACGGTATGAGGGGGCCCTTTTTCGACATGATAGGGACCATTTCTGGGCTGAGGGGGCCCATTTCAGGTCTGAGAGGGCCCATTTCAGGTCTGAGAGAGTGAGAGGGCTAATGTCAGGCCTGAGAGGGCCCATTTCAGGCGCTTGAGGTCCTATTTGAGGCCTGAGAGGGGCCCATTTCAGGTCTGAGAGGGCTAATGTCAGGCCTGAGAGGGCCCATTTCAGACCCTAGAGGACGTATTTGAGGCCTGAGAGGGGCCCATTTCAGGTCAGAGAAGGCCCAGTTCAGGCCTGAGAAGACTCATCCCAGGAATGAAAGGATCATCCTATGTGTGAGAGGGTCCGTACTCCGTGCGTGGTCTGGGTCTGAGAGGGCCTATCCCAATCCTGATTGAGCCGATATCATGTTTGATACAGGTCAACTCACCACATGTATATTGATGGCCCAGTTCATGTCTAATGGGCCCATCTCAAGACTCAGAGATTTTATGCTTCAGGAAGCCTACCCCAGGCGTAAGGGGGCCCATAGAGGTTTTTGAGGCTCATGGAGCTCCCGCAGTACGATATGTCAGCCTCTGAGAAAGCCATGCAGGGCCCTTAAGATGCCAAGCCGACATCTGAAAATTCCTCTTCTCTTCAGGCCTGTGCCTGCCTCACCGCCCGGCCCCACCCAGACGTCTAGGGGTTTGACGCCTAGGCATTCATCAGGACTCCACACCGGTCCATAATGGCTCCAAACTGACACCTGAGGGTCCCGCACCGGCTTTTGAGGGGCCCACCAACCTCTGATAGCCACCACGCAGGTCTCAAAAGACAATGTCGATTGTTGATATCTAAACCCCCAAGTCTTGGAAGGCCTGTGCTCTATGCAGATTCTTGAGGGCTTTACGTGGGCTTGTAAACATCCCGAACTGGCTCTAGCCTAGCTCGACCGCGCCCCGCAGAGCAGGGCCCCAGGCTTTCCAGTTTTACGCCCCTGAGGGGTGTTTGAATATTCCCTTCTAACCTGACTCCCGGGTCACGTAGCGACAAGTGCGGCGGTAGGCGGCTCTCTAAAGAGCGTCGAAAATCATGGAGAAATTGCTTCAGTCATGTTGCAGTTCAAACCAAAACCCACGTCATCATGTTCATCGAAGGAAAAGTTTCGCCTAATTCGACACTCGAGGACATAGGTATAAAGCTATAGCGCGCTGAAAGTGGGTTCGATAGCTCTCTAACGCGTGCAATCAGCCATGGGAGGGGGGGGGGGCGTATCGGCCAAACCCGATCATAATTTAAGAAGGCTAGAAAGACGAGAAAAGCAACAGATAGCTGTAGGATGCTTCAGAATCGTACAGGTCATTTTTCGATTGGGTCATCGCTGAGGTTATTGAAGATGAAATTATGATAAAATTATGATAAACACAAAGACAAGATTACGACGAAAATATTCTTGTTTTTTATATTTTCACAAATAACCGTATAACTCGTGAACCAAAGAGCTAGAGCTTCGCGGAACAACTCATTCGATAGGCCTTTCAAAACGCTTTCGCATTTAAGACTATTTGACCTCAATGCCTCATGTCAATGGTTTGGCAACAGAGCAGAGGGCAAAACCATCTAAATAGTCGCATTTTACCAAAATAGTTTTGCTAAGAATTTTTGCAAGAACTTTGGTGAGAAAAATTATGAGACATTTCGGTACTTTGTCATCATTCTCTCGTTAACATGCATCGAATGTTAACACCTATAATTTCACATAAAAAGTTCAACTTCAAAATGTGACCGCAGATCAAGGTCATGCCTTTACTTGAGAAGTTCATGATGGTCATCAACTGATCCGTATGGATGATTAACACCTTCAAGACAATTTCATTACTCTACCTCGTCTCCTATATCAAAAGTAATACCGAGTTGAAAAACTGATGTTGAGCTTTTTTAAAAGCTTTTTGACCTAGCCCGACCCATTTGAGCGGCCGCTGGCCATCAATTGCACGCTGTCCATCAAATATGGGTAGAATGGTCGTGTTTCTGTAAATATGCTGTTGTTTTTTACGTGCCTCTTCAGATCAAGAGATATTTGTTCTTTTCCCCGATTTGGCTGGTAATGATCAGGACAATGATCTGACCTTTCGTTGTTGGTAAGGGGCCCCCCATTAGGTTGAGGGGGCCCACTTTGCTGGGGGGCCCATCGCGAACGTCTCTCACCCCCGTCGCCAGAGTTCTGGCTGCGCCACTGGTTTTGCCTCATCTCTCGGTGAGCCGGCCGAGAGTCCATTTATCCGCCGTCAGGGTCCGCTCTGTCGCCGGAGGCCAGGGTCGGCCGCTCTGCTCGACTCCCGCCGGGTTTTCTCTCTCCCTCCCCTCCCGGTGACAGCAGCCCGCCGACGGAGGTCGATCACACCAAGGTAACGTCCCCGGAGGTATGCCGCCGACGCCCGCGGCACTTTCACACGCGCGCTCCGCCGCGCGGTGGGTGGACACACGCACGCCCTGCCCGCGACCGTCTCATCTCAGTTCAATGTGTGCCGGCCGGTCGGGTCGGGATTCATTCGGTCTCAGTTGATTCCAACAGGTAAATTGTACAGGAAATATCGTCAGCGACGGGGGACGAACCCCAGTCTCCACCGAGTGGTAGCGGGAACGTTTCAATGATGAGTCACTCGTCCCCGTGCTCCTTTTAAAATGCTACCTGCCTTGATGGCTGCTGGCGAAGGCCGCATGACTCGGCGTCTGCAGTGGGTATATGCGGCACATTACCTTTACAGCGGGCCCGGCGACTTTGACGCCTCCGCCGCGACCGACTGATAGCGTCGGTGTGCGAGCTGGTGTGACGTCAGGGGCCGGCGCGGCGGTGACTCGGGCAGAAGGCCCTGACATACTCCCGGGGTCTGTCTGAGTGGCGTCTGCCGTCAGCGGGTGCCGGCCGCCGGCCGCAGCGCCGACCGTCCACGGGTGTCGGTGCAGCTGAAATCTGAACCGACTACATATGTCTGAGAAATGGACAATGACCTGAACACAACAGAGAGCAGGAGGGAAAACGGCAGAAGACGCTGTTGATGAGTGGACCCTCTGAGGAAGGACAACCCTGCAAGTCTCCTCCCCGAAGCGCTCGACGCTAAGGCGGCGGACGGAAGGTCAACGGTGCGTCACTCGAGGTCCAGTTCGATGGCGACCTTGAGGGGTCGCCCCGGTGGGCTGTGACGTAACGAACGGAGTGCCGGCAGCGGAACGCTTCCTGATCTCGTCGGTCGAATTCGATGTGTGGCTAATCGGAACTCTGGATCGACGGATTCGTGGGATTTTCTGGGGGCCATTCCGTCGCATACAACTGAAACAATATTACTATATGCGCGATGGACCGGATGAAACAGCTGTTGACGGGCTGTTTAAACAGGGGCTCCAGCACGGCCCAGTAGCAGAACAGGAGAAGATCGTTTTAAGTCGAATATCTAAATATATATGCAGTATACCCGACCCATAGGTTGCGGTCAAGTGGAAACGCACGGGAGGGACGCATTCTCCCTTCCCTCCTCACACGAGTGCCTTCCGCGAATGGGACTTACTCGTATAGGTAAATACGTACCTACGTCTAAAACCTGCAAGCATCAGCAACTGAGCGGCATAGCTGCAGAGTCCATGACTCATGACTCACCTCATTGGATCCGACCGTGTCGTGTCCGATGCACCATATATTAGCACGCTATCTGTAAGAATATCTGCTGCAGTTTTACTGGCGTTTTTACTGATCCAGGTAAAGTGAGCCCGGCTCCATGGTTGCCTCACAATAGTCTGGTTTCCCCGCGGACATCCGCGGAAAAATCATAATTTTACCTCGAGTTCCGCATCAAACAAAGCGCCAGTGAGCTCGACTTGGAGCTACCGATGTGCCATTATCTTGCAAGGTCGGCAGAAAAATTAGTTATGGCCTATTTACGTACAGGGAAACGGCTGCTGCCGAAGGAAAACATAACCGAAAGGCGAAAACGTGATTCCAGTCGGCGATGAAATTATAATTTGTTAGGACGCTGCAACGTGAGGCTATTAAAACGGAAAATAACATTGTAATTTTTTAATTAACTCGAAGCAATAAGGGCACTTATATGAATAAGCGATAAAAACTATATTGAATAATTGGGCTGTAAGTGCCGAACAAAATTAAAAATCTTATGGCCTATAGTAGGTAGGTACCTAATACATACATACCTACACCCTTTTACCGATATCTATTAATTGTAGGTGTAATGAGTACCTACTCCCGTAGTAGGTAAATGATAAACGTAAAAAAGCTAACACCAATAAGGATACATAGTTCTTATCGACGTCCAACTACTAATTGCCATTTTATATGTATATCAATTGCAAGGGTTTGTCATCAGAATTTGAAGTCATCAAGCCAGTCCACACGAAATCTAATTGGCTCCGCCTAACAAAAACACCGCATTGCATCAGAGTAGCTCAATGGAAAGGAAACCCCCCGAGTCATCCCGGGTCTCGTCTCCCGCCGTCGCCTCGTCGGCACGGCGCCGCCAGCAACCAGTCCACATACCTGTGGCCATCTCATCAGCATTTCAAGTGCGCCCGCCGCGACCTTGTCCGGCGGCCCGGGCGGGGAGGGGAGGGGGAGTTCTCACGGTCAAGGTCATCGCACCGCCGGCCGGTCGGTCGGGTGGCACGCACCTCCCCTCCCCTCCACGTGGTGCCCTCTCAGAAATCGTTCAACCTGCCCGGATCGGGGCGAACCTCAGCCTCCCCGGGGTATGAGGAGCCACAGCCACTGCAGGGACGCCCTCAGGGCAGCCGTCCCCCTGGTATTGCGTCACGGCCGATGGCTGCAGGGGGCGGCGCCGTCCCGCGGCAGTGCGGCAGCGACCCTCAGCGGACGTCACCGGGGCTGACCCTCAGCGCGCGGCTACTCTACGGGCGGCGGCGGCGCGGCGCCATCACTCGGCTCGGCGCAGCGATCACGGCAGCATGGCCATGACGCCGGCCGTCTCGGCCCTGCTGCTGGTCTGTGGAGTGGCGGCCCTGGTGCACAGCTCACACGGTGAGTTTTAGAGCGGAGAGCAGTTTAGCACGGTGACTTTTATATCGGGAAACACTGGCGCTAGAACACAGTACATACGGACTACGGTGACTTTGGACCGGGGAGCAGTTTAGCACGGCTCGCACACGGTGAGTTTTAGAGCGGGGGACTGGCACGGCTCAATCGGTGTGTTTTATACCGGGGAGCACTGGTGTCACAGTGCAGAGCACATGCGGTGAGTTTTATACCGGGGACGGGGGACGGTGTAAAACAGCAAACGCCCGACCAGCCTGTGGTGTGGCGAGCTGGGCCTCGTCTCATAAAGCGAGTCCGTAACTTATGCCGGTTTTTGGTCTTGTATTGCAAGTGCATGTGAAGCGATTAAGTTATTTCCCTCTCTCCCTTCTGTTCTTGCTTACAAGATAAATAAATTCAACGATTCAAACTATCGTCATCGCTTCATGGCACTTGCAATTCAAGACCAAAAACCGACGTAAGTTACGGACTCGCTTAATGAAACGAGGCCTAGGATACAGCCAATCACGTGGAGATACACCGGGACAGGTGCACATAGCAACCGCAGCACCGATTCATTAGGCCTTCGGACTCGGAGAGGAGTTTTACTAAGTTTATCCGGTTTCTGTTTGGATCCGGATAACCTTACGGATTCTGCCGGATCACCCATGAATGTCATCAGCTTCTTATTATTTTTGTTGGCAACGATCTTGTCTCTCGTCCTTTTTCGAAAGGCAAGAGTGATACAATCATGGCGCTATTAAAAATTACGCGATAGGAACTCTCCACTAAACAGGGATTTCACAATGAAAAACGCATAGCGTCCTCTGACCAAACCGTTCTAAGAACAGCTTTCGACGGCGGATATATGGGCCAGCAGCTTTCAGTTGTATACGTTTGTTGCAGTCTTTGACCCGAAAAACGTTGGTGATAATTATTGATCAATAATAGGTTCAATAATAGGTCCCCAATCGCAAACGCCAGTTGAACGATAATGATGCGGGTACATTGGATCATGCCCATGGCGACGAGCGCGGTGCCCTGGTGCACGTGCCTGGTGACCCTGGCATACTCTGAAAGGGGCACCGGCCGGCATTGGTGCGACTGGCTCTCCAGTCCCGTGACCTAAATACGCCGGGCGCAGATCCAGCCTAACTCTGTATATACGTGACTTACCGGCCGTATTTAGAAGACTGAGGAAGAGTGTGGTTATTTAGCGTCGTATTACGTTTTAAAAGAGATTAATCTTAAACAGAAGACGCACATGTTTATAGTGACATGCATATGTAAGTTTAAAGTTAATCTCGTCGCGTTATGCCATAATTTGCGTTACATGTTAAGGACAAGAACGTCTTCCGTTAAACATAACTGCAGCCGAAATAATGCCGCTGTCAACTGACAGTAACTACCGTTTGATAAGTCGATTTGTGTTACCTTTAGTGCGTTGACTTGTTTCTTGTTTGAACTTATCGCTCCTCACTATGCCTATTGCCTAGTCAACATAACGGGCTAATAATAACGGGTTGTCGGATTTAATTAATCTCTCTATTAATTAGCGGACCGAATCCCGATTCAATTAGGAGTGTAAAAAATTCAAAAACTTTTTAATTAAAAAACTGGGTCCTGGGTTTGCGGGTTAATCTCGGATCCACAGTTCCCAGACGAAGCTCACCCATCCCATGCAATGCGTGCAACGGCACAATGCACGCGATTGTGCACGACGACCAGCGTCATATATCAGGCTGGCTAAGTCAACGGGGCGCCACAGCATTGGAGGGAGGATCGAGGGTAAATCGAGAGTGATCGAGGGTAAATCGAGAGTGATCGAGAGTGAACGTGTCTCGGTGACACTGGTGGGAGTCCGTCTCATCCGTTTACAGGCCGGGACGGGGAAACCGTCCTAATGATCCAAACGTTTATCGCCTGGGACTAGGATGTTACAATGATTTTCACCATGGAAACAGGTGCTCATTATTAAATCATGGCGTTATTTAACCATTACCTCCGGCATTGCATTGTTGAATGCATAACTCAATACCTAAGTAGCTGTGTCTATAAGCACATTATCATTATTTTCGCCTCTAATTCCGCTAGCACGTAATGGTCTCCTCATATAGGTAACCAAGTACTTTTGCGACCTCAGGTCTTGGCGGACTTACCATTGACCAAGTATGGGCTATAACCTGACCAGAAAACACACACTAGCTAAAGAGGTGGGACAAAACGAACCACCTGCCATGCGCTGACCCACCAGACCCCGGCTGACCTCCCGTGACGCTGCCTGCCCCGGCCGACACCGCAGGTCAGTCGCGGATTCTGACCGGCGCGGTGGAAGATGACCCGCTGAAGTGTTACACCTCTGACGGCCTGCTGGGCGACTGCCGGCCCTGGCGCTACTGCAAGGTCGTCCGCCAGGAGTACCCCAAGAAGAAGCCCACGCTCTGCCTCTACCGACCCAAAAACCCCATCGTCTGCTGCCCGAGAAGTGAGTACGCCAATAGTACGCGCCTGAGAGAAGCACGAGAGAAGGGTTTGAATGGAACTCGGAACTTAATACAGAACAAGGCCCAAGGCCGTATACAGGGCCTATATAAGGCCTTCATGGAACTTGACGATTGGAGAGCTGCGAAGCTGCACTATTGCTCTCAGCTAATGACATCGTGACTTTAAATGCCGAATAGTTCGGGTTGTTCGGTAGTTTTTTTTTCTGACTGTGCATGATAATAAAGAAACGGTTCCAGTTATGACCGATAGTGTCTTGAGTGAAATGCATCGGGACTTTTTATAATTAAAGGGACACTCCCACCTTAACATTAGTTTTGAGTTGAGGTAGCCAAATTGGTGGCCATGGCCTGCAAATACCGGTTTGGGCACTCACAACATCAACAAATGCTTTAATTCGGAGATATGGAATTTCAAACTTGCAGTTTTCGGATTCTAAGGGGCTAGTGCATTGGTATGCCCCCTTAGAATTTGTGACGTCAGCGGAGATCTAACGATTTTTAAATCTTTTACTAAAACGTTTGGTAGCACGCGGTGGTATACGCTGCTTTGCGCGCAGCGTATTTACAAATTGCAACCGAGCTCCGCCGTAGGGTATTTTATTTCCGCCGTAGTGTATTTCACTTGGGGGATTTTCTACCATACATCTGCCTGAGCTTAGGGTAATTACAATTTGTCGGCGACGTTCGAAAATGATGCACCTTTTTTCGCAGTATAGGATATCGCATGTGCATATTTCTGCCTTTTTGGGTGCGCTTTATCGGTTTTTCGTGAGTAACTCGCGTAAAAACCGTCCGATCGCGACGAAACTTTCAATACCCCCGATTTTATCAATTTTACACCTACCCTGAAAATTTCATGACCCTGACCCAAATGACCTTTGACCTGTAACTTCTCGAGACCATGTTTGGCCCCAATCGCGATTCGGCGTATGTCGGCTCGCATTAGCCGCGCGGTTGCAGTTTTCACGTGGTTTCAAGCGTTGAAACATGTGATATGATGCTGGTCCCATGCATTAGGGTGGGTGTCAAGGTCACCTGAAGGTCAGGTCAGCTCAATGACCTTTGATGACCTCGGTTCACTTTTTCGAGTTTTACATGTTTCTAGGCTAGTTTTTGGAGCTGATTTCGAATTTAGCAACCATTTGAACATCACAGCGGGTGTAACGAAATTATCCAGACACCTTTCTTCCCGCTGTAAAAGCAAAACAATCTGGTACTTTTTCTTTTAACTGAGCTTGTAGCCACCTTTCATAAAAACACAGTTTACTCACCTCGTTGGTTTCTGCATATCTTTGGAGTGGTTTTTGTCAAAGGACAGTCAGAGAGGAAATGAGGAACCCACACAGTGGCGAATGTTCTGGAGCATTTCAACCAATGGATTCTCCAGCACACTGGCTTTGATGCGGACCAACGCCGTCTAAACCTGTGCCTGCGGTTGAGCAGTGCTTATGGCGGGTGGCTCTTCATACACCTCCTGCAGCCTGCTGAACAAGAGCCCACAGGTTTTCGATTGAATTGGGATCGCGACTTTTTCCAAGTCATAAGCGTTAGCCCAGAATGATTGAAGGTTCTATCGGCATCACTTCCCGTTCTTTTAGGGACTTTTAACCCGCGCACCGATGGGGGGGGGCGGATATCCGCCCCCCCTGAGGTTTTTCGCGAATAGCGGGAAAACCGCGGCGCGTAGCGCCGCGAAATTTGGTATGACTATAACCTCATCAATTTTACACATGGTGTGCAAGTTTGAACCTCCTACCTTTCAAGGTCAGGTCACCAGGTCACTTTGAATGACCCAACCTCAAGTCACTTTTTTGCAACTTTGTCACCGTGCCAGAGCTACAGTAGATGTCGGAGGCCTTTGAAAGTCGCAGGATATTATTAGGTCATTAGTAGCTACAATTTGTATATCTCGGAATTTTGATATCGGTGACCTAAGGTCAGGTCAATTTCGCGACCTCCCCATTATAAGTCAATGGGGGAAAAATCAACTCCCTGTTTTTACCACTAAAACGGGTCGGAGTGGCCCCATATACCATACATGACTTCATATACGATCAACCTTCACTACCTTGAGGTCTGTTTTGCTGTTGGGCAGCTGTGAGGTCATGTGACGTCATCAAAGGTCACCAAAGGTTTTTGGCCAATAACTCCGTACAGGAACAAGATACAGACGCGTGGATGGTCTCATTGTGTTCAGCTCGTCAAGACGCATCGAATGATATACATGATGACCTCGAGGCCACGTGACCTGAGGTCAACCTTTGACCTTGACCTTTCGAGGTCAACATATATATCATTCGATGCGGATTGACGAGAGGATCACGATGATGCCCTTAGTTTATTCCTATCTTGACTAATTCGAAAGTTATTCGAGAAAAACTCTCTCCATATCTAGCGCCGCCATTTTGACTTTTTCGACCCCTGTGACGTCATCTTTGACCTGACCTGAAAATGACCTTAGTAAAAATTGTAGATCTTGGCCGTGCGTATCCGATGCCGTTTACCGCTTGTCGCTATCTTGCTTCGTTCTCGAGATCTCAGGGGGGGGCGGTCATCCGCCCCCCCCCCCGTCGGTGCGAAGTTGGCGCAGACCCCCGTCGGTGCGCGGGTTAAGTAGCGCGCCGCCACGCATGAAGACAGCGTGGCTTGAATCAGGCATCAGTGCGCGTTCAGAAACCGTGCCCTCCTATGCCGTCTGGTTGAGCGCCTCCAATCATGCTCCACCACCTTCCCTGGAAAAGCTCCACCCTTGCCTATGGGGCAAAATATAAGGGACAAAAACACAAAACAAGACAGATAAAAACAAAGCAAAATTAACTCATTACCTAATGAAATTCAGGCTGGAGCAAAAACATAGGTAATAGGTTATGTCAAATTAGAATGAAAGATTAAAATCAACCTGACCAGGCCTTATGGTCCGACCGGGTCCTAACCACCTTACTTCGCCTAACTTGACCCAGTTCAACCTAGCCTACCACAACACCTGCAGAGTGCAGAGGTACACTCGGGGGCAGATTGATGTTCCACCACTCCCTACCTATCGGGCTCCCATGGCTCAGCACTGGCTGCTGCCAGTGTTGCCTGCCCTCAGCACTGCTCAGCACTGCCTGCCAGTGCCAGTGCTGCCACATGCTGCCACTGGCAGCAGCCAGTGCTGAGCCATGGGAGCCCGATGGGTAGGGAGTGGTGGAACATCAATCTGCCCCCGAGTGTACCTTCCTGGAAAAATGACGCCCAGGGAGATGACTGTCCAACTTATTGAAATACTACCATGATTGCTTGTCAAAATGTGTGTCATCATGCTCTTGTTTGACAAGTGATGTATAATAAATGTGATATTCAATAATTACTCCTGACTGTTGACTGTTGAGTTATCAAAATATTCAAATAATCAGGGTACAATCCTGTGCATAGTGCACACTAATCATGTTGTTTTTGTGTAGGCCCTCCGCACATTGTTGTGTGCACTGCTATGTGCACCTAAGTAAAAAAGTGACTGGTGGTACATGACAAAAGGTTGAGCAACTGTGAAGTTCATGCCCTTGGTCTTGCTGGTGCCAAATGCCTATAGCTAGGATCAGTGAGGGTTGTAGACATGCTACATACATTGTGCATTGAAGATATTGGCACAAAGTTCATCCGTAATTACTATGCTTAATACCTAATGCAAGAAGCGACATAAATGCCCAGATGATAAAGCTCTCTGGTCAACATCACACAAATTTATTGACATACTTTGCAGGTACATATTTACATTCATGGCAAATACTTTCGATTTGATTCAGAAACTAGTTGCTAGTAAGCTTGCATTTTTGTAGGCACAACAACGACCATATATTAAATCATAAAAAACCTTCTCATGGCAATCATCAATACCTTTCTACCGAACAAGTACCTTATACCTAGCTTCCATGCAATGATTCTAAAATTTGTCCGCAATCCATCTATATCTCAACTGACACAATGAATTTCAAATACCCTAACGAAACCTATAACTGTACATAAGAAGAATGCAATACTACAAGAATTGTGAATTTCTGAAGTTATTCTCACATGCTGAATGTTGAAACTCTACTTTTGTCGTCCATTTCCATGTTTCATTGAGCCATCATATAGAACTGTTTCCGATCTACAGTCACAAGCTTTCCCACAAATCTTGAATTTTTACACATCATCTTGAACCATGCTCCAGTCTTTCCAACAAAGCAATTTTGATTTGTTGCAACAGCTTCAGATCATGATATGCTTGAAGTTTGTTACGTACCATTTGTCAGACAAATCTCAACATTCAACAAAATGTGTATCAATTCCCAAGCTAAGTAGTTGATCATATCAGTATTTGCAGTTTCCACACAATGTTTCATAATACTATTCTATGTTTATATAAAGAAACTCAAATAATCCACAAATTGTTATTGAAACACTCCCACTTCAAGAATTCACAGCAATGGCAATAACAGTACAAGTTCAGAAGCAAACAAACATTGCGCCACATTTCGTATGAAACGCGCCATCGCCCTGAAGTTTCTACCACAGACGGTAGTTCAACCGCAGCCGTAGTGCGAAAACCCCTGCCCACCTTACCCCACGGCGGAGCTCGGTTGCAATTTGTAAATACGCTTGCGCGCAACAAATGCCGCACTTTCAAATAAAGTCATGTCCGTGAAGTTAGCGTCAGCAACAGCAACGAATACAGCGTCGGATTCAGAATCTCTTAAAAAACTCGTATTAGGTCAATTGGGGGACGGGGAGCAAGAATATGACATTTATTTGGCCCTAGCTCTTACCCCTTACCCCTTAATCGGCCCTTAAAGGAAGGGGCGCGTCAAAAGTGCCTCAAGGGTTCGTCTGATTGCCAAAATAAGGGTCGCAATCGATTCCTCGGGTCAATATCTAGCCGCAGCCTCGGGTTCCAGATGTGTGCAACTTACCCCTTACCCCTTAATCGGCCCTTAAAGGAAGGGGCGCGTCAAAAGTGCCT